TATATATATATATATATATATATATATGTGTGTGTGTGTCTGCAAAGGTCACTTAGGTGTGACAGCCATCTTGGCTCTAAAGTAAATCGGTAGTCAATGTACTTCCAATGATTACTTTGTGAGAATTTAATTAAAATCTATTCACTGGTTCATGAGATATTTTGCTAACAAACAAACACAAACACACAGACACAAACACAAATTTATGATCACCCTTTCTCTATTAGAAGGCAATCAAAAAAGTCAGATGAACTATGAGTTTGTTGTTAAAAAAAAACATGACAAATTATCCATTTAAGATTGTTACTGTATAAAAAAGAAGAAACTGACTAGCATTTATCTGGCTTTTGTTGAAAAGCATGAACCTCAGTACATAGTGCACATGTGTGTGTGTGCGCGTGCATGTGCGTACATGTCAGTCCATCTATCTGTGACTGCCATTTGTCCTGATTATCTTTGTGACCCTCTCTTTGTCAATAATCTTCACACTGATGGAAGATAGCAGAGATTAAATCCTAATGGAAAAAAACAAATGACTAATGGAGCCGACACACATTCACATTCAGAAGCTGCTGTCACTATCGCCGAGCAGATCCGTCTGTCTAAATGTGCGTCTTTAAATGATTTGTGTCTTCATGTTGTGATTATGCAGATATGCACCGCCTTAATCTGTGTTTCACAGACAAAAAAAAAAAAAAAAAATTAAAGAGAAGTAATTGAAGCTATCAGGTGGTAAGGGAGGGAATGATAGACAGAGACATGCATTAAGATATACAGAAGCAGGAGGGGGTGATTTCTTTAGTGGCTAGTATGGGGGGGGAGTGTAATAGCAAAAGGAAGAGCTGAAGCAGTCACTCAATGAGGCCTGTGCTTTTATTTATTTATTTATTGCCCTTTTAGGCTGTAAACATGCAGCACTCCCTCGTGTTTCGTGCCTGAGTGGCTTGACTGATTGGTGAAACTGTCTGTCTCACAGGCTGCTGCTGCTCTCTGTCAATGGTAAGCAGACATGGTGCACAGAGGTTTGCCCTGCAACGGATTCTCTCTTAAACACCAACAACAACTTCAATCAATGTCATCTGCAGGGACACCTGGACAACCTTTCTGCTTTCTTTTTCCTCCAGATGGAGCCCACACTGTGTAACATGCCAGTACCTCTCTATCACTCTGTGTGGTGGCTTTGTCAAAGCATATAACACTTCACCCATTACTTTCTATGGAGGCTGAATCTATTTGGGATGCTATCAATATGGTATGCCTCTACTCAAGAAATTGTATTTTTATTAAAGGGTTTCATTAATAACAATCTCAGAGCTCCTGCTTGTTTTATACACACAGCTGAAAAATCACACTCTTGTCATTTTTACTGTCTTGTATAATAAATAACTGGCACAGATTTGTCTTATATAACTAGATTCCTATCTCTGCTATTTCTGGTGATGTAAAAGTAAATCTAAAACCATGAGTGGGTGAAAGAGAAATGGCAGCGGGAGTAATGATGGCTTTCTGAAACTTATCCAAGATTAGTGTCTTCCACAACAAATCTCTGTGCTTGTTGGGAGAAACGATGGAGGGAAAGAGCCTGGAGTACTGCTTGGGAATTCTGCGCCTCTGAGCCTTTTTATCCTGTTAGCTGCAGGATTAAATAAAGCTAATTGCATAGTGGTTCAGAGTCAGTGTCTCATGAGTGCCCTTTTTGGAATATCGACAAAGCCCATCTATTGTCAGTGGCATTTTTGAATCTCTATTTGGTTCGGCAGAGTTAAACCAAAACGTTCAGTCAATAAGTAGAAAGAATTCCTGCTAATAAATTCAATGACTTTCAAAACCTTTGCTCATAAAGTGCAGTGCATCAGTTGGTGAAATGTGTTTTGGTGTTTTTTTATGGACATGTGGCACAAACAGTCTGTGAAAAACAGTGAGAAAAGTAGCATACTAATGCATCAACGTGGCACTTATTAATGCATTTTTTAAGGGGAATCAGACAGGGAAGAAACCACAATGAAGTTTTTTGATAGAGGTCCTTTTTTGTATGAGTTTTTTTCTCTCCCAGAATTAGGAGTTACCATGAGTTTGAGGGTATAACTGAGTGTGTGAATTTTAAGAAATAACCCAACATTTTTCAGTCTGGTCATCTGGACAGTTTCTTTTTTTTGTGCTGAAATGTTTCACCTTCGATCTGGAAGGCTTCATCAGTCAAGGAAACACACACCAAAACTGATTCTTCCCCCAACAGCTTACTCCAAAGTGGAACAAACCAGTTTTGTATACGCCCCCTCCTCCATTGCCGACCCTCTTCCTTGTTGACAGTCGTGTCAAACTGGCTGAAGACAACAAAGTCCATGCTCAATAATCCAGGTATACAATCCTGAGTGAAAAATGTTGGATTGTATACCTAGATTATTGAGCATGGACTTTGCTGTTTAAGAAACAACATACTGTAACATATTTCTTGAATTCATGTTGCACTTTGAGCTTTATACTTTTTGTAATGTAGAAAATATGAATAGAATGGTGGAATTAGACAATTGTAAACTGCTTCAAAACAAAACATTATGGATTTAGTCCATATGTGGGTATGATCTAATGAGACAGGAATATAAGGAGATGGGACATAGAGCAAAGAGGGAGGTAGCTAAGGCAAAGAGGAAGGCGTATGATGTGTTGTACTGGAGACTGGACACTAAAGAGGGTGAGAAGGACCTGTACCATT